TTGTCATCCTGGAAGATGAAACGGCGGCCATGACGTCGTGCGAACGGCACAACATGGACTGCCAAGATGTTGTCCCGGTAGTACTGGCCTGTAACACGCCCTGCAACAACATGTAAAGCCGTTCTTCCAGCAACAGTGATGCCTCCCCACACCATAACAGAACCACCCCCAAATCGATCATGTCTGATGACGTTAACGTCTTGGAAGCGCTCGTTTCGACGACGCTACACCCTCCTACGTCTGTCCAAAAAATCAACAGTGAACCTTGACTCATCTGAAAACATCACATTGCTCCAGCGTCGATTATCCCAGTGTTGACGATCCCTACACCAACGACGTCTTGCCTGAATGTGATGATCTCTCAAACAAGGGATCACGCGAGGACGTCGGGCGCGAAGGTGACCCCTATGCTGTCGATTCCGAATCGTCTGGCCACTCACTCTCACACCAGTGTCTGTTTGAAGACGAGCGCTGATCTGATTTGCTGTGATGACACGATTTCTCAAGGCCAAGGTACGGATAAATCGATCCTGGGCTTGAGTTGTCGCCCTTGGTCGACCTGAGCGTGGTCTGTCCTGTACAGATTGTGTATCACGGTATCTTGACCATAGCCTGCTTATGACAGACTGAGAAACATTCATCGTCCGCGCCACAACCGCCTGTGTTGTGCCGATCTGTAGCATGCCAAGGGCACGTAACCTTTCATTTTGGGTAAGCCGACGCATATCAAAATTTGTTTTCTGGTCACTAAAACAATTGAACTGATGTTTCCACCCTGGAATTCAATGCCACAATGACTGTAACATTCAAAGTTAGAGTCGTGCAAATCTTGGGTTGGACCCCCATGATGATCCCAAGCATCACCTGCATTCCATGCGGTAGCTATTGGTGCGTTTGGGCGTCACATGTAACTGGAAATGTTTCTTCTGTTAGGTTCTATAGTGACTTTTTTCGTAGTCATTTGCATATTTTAGTATTATGCCCCCAAAATCAAATATCCCCTACTTTTTTTGAATAGTATATATAAAGTTTACAGGGTTTTTTTTCTGTACATAATAATTTACTAATTGTATCTTTTTTTAACAAGCCTGCTCATTCTTCATGAGGTTTGTTAATATTCAAATGTGCTGACTCACATTGGAAGTCTGTACATTTATTAAAATAGTACATATTTTTTACTTTTCAGATATATACATGAACGATTTTGTTTGTTATGCAGTTATGGCGATACGTTTTTCGCGTACGTTCAAGAAACAGTTTTATTTACCATGATGTGTCCAGTTTTGTTACATAAAAATAACTAGTTAATGCCAACTGTAGACAACACTCTGAAAGGCATAATGGATGGACATGACATAAACATAAATAATTATATAAGCAGTGAAATTATAAGAACAGCTGGCAACTAGATAAAACATAGTCATTAATTATATACAACATTTTATTTGATGTATTCACAACTTTAGTATTATGACATGAAGTACAAAAAGAATAATGGAATAGGGTATGATTTACTGTCCCGTTAACACAGTACGCCATTTTTAGACAATCGGTTGATAATAACTCTAGGTGATAAGTAATTATTAATATTGTTGGTTTATATTTAAGGATACATTCCCACGAAAGTATTTATAGAGTAGTTGATTCCAATAAAAGTATGGCAAATGGACAGCAAAGACGCCTAATCTTACTAGAAAAATACTGGGCAAAAATGTCAGGGTATCACTGATACTGTCTGGTAACTGTTATATCTTGATCGAATGGTTAAGCGGTTTCGGGAACATTGAGGGGTTTGAACGTACAACAGACTCTGCAATTAAACGGTGGAAAAAAAGTTGGCAGAAGATAATGTTGTGTTGGGGTGTTTATTCTAGGATTGTCCTGGATTGGTTTTATTTATTAAGAGTCCATCAAAACAAACATCCATCTTGAAGTTCACCCAATCCCAGAATGCACACTCTCACTCATATATAATGAAACATGAAAAGTTAAAATTCGATTAACATGAAAAGTTAAATATATCTACATGATGAGTTCTCAGAAATGTTTGTCTATGAACTTGAGTTTAAGTACTGCTCTAACCTTAACATATATATATTTTCTAAATATACAAGTGTATATATACTCTTCAAAAAAAGTAGGGGATATTCAGAAACAATGCAAAACTGCAGAAATGCAATGCTGTTTTTAATAGAGGTAACCAGTGTAGAGCAGAACATAATGACGAATCTGAATCAGTTATAAGAACCGGACCAAATATACAGACAATCTTTTGAATAATGGCCTCACAATGGTCTCTGCATCTAAAGTCTTGAGTGGAACACAGGTAAGAAAACGGGCAAGCTCGTCATAGACAACCATGATATGTTTGAATCCTGTTGGTGATTCAGGCATAGATTTAAAGTCTAAACTTTACGGTACGGTATTCTATAGGTATCCGTGGAGTAACTGGCCTTTCAGATAAAGGGTTAGCGAGTGCAAAAACTGTAGGAACAATTGTATCGATCTCTGAATCATTTTCAAGTGGACTTCTCGAAAGAAAATAGGCTAAAACTAATTCTGTTCCTTTCTTATAGCCTATTTTGAAAAAGAAATGTGACAATTTGACTAAAGGGTTCTGTAAGCAATTGGTACATGGTTGCCGTTTGGAATCTAAAAGATTAACAATGGCAGCATGATCGACATAAGCATCAAACTCGACCCCTCGTAGTAAATATTGGAAATTTACGATATTAATAAAAAGTCCAAATAATTCCAACTCTGTACCAGAATAACGTTCACATGCTTTAGGAAGACGTTTGGAATAATATGCTAGAAGTCGCTCTTGTCCATCTATAATTTGTGTAAGATAAGTTCCTGTAGCTGTTCTTGAAGTATCGCTGTATAAGGTTAATCGAAATGTGTCATTGGGCATGTACGAAATGTGCCTTTTTGTTAGAAATTTTGTGTAATGGTTGCAGGACTGATTGTAACTGAGGCAAGAAATTCGACACATAATTGATTGCACCTATGAACTTCCTAACATCCTTAGTTGACTTTACTGTTCGTCAGAATCTTATGACCCATATAAACAACTTCAGTACGAAAAAATGAATTCTTCTTAGGTGCAACTTTTAATCCATTTTGAATTAAGACTTTGAATATTAAGCTTAAATGTTTTTTGTGTGACTCAATATCGTGACTAAAGAGAATGATATCATCATGATGGACAATACAGAAGGAATAACTGTCAGGAATTGTAGATATGATATATTCTATTTTTGACTGAAATACAGCAGGTGGAACGCTCAAACATTGAGTTAACCTTTTAAAATAATAGTGTTTCCCACCAGAATAAGATGAAATTCCTGTATATTGTTGAGCTTTTGGTGATAATGGTAACGAGAAAAATGCGGACTTGAGATCTAGGCAACTAAGAACAGTGGGCATAGCACGGCCGATCCTCTTTATAGTGTCTGAAAATAAGGGAAAGGGGTGATTCAGACGTTTAATCTTAGAATTGAGATATCAAGAATCAACAACTACACATTTTTCATTTGTTCCTTTCTTGGGTAGAATAAGGACAGGAGAAGTATATGACTGATGTTCAACAGCTATTATTCCTAACTTAATAAGATTTTGTAATTCATGATCAACAATTTTCTTCTCTGCTTCAGTTTTAGGATAAGGACGAATGTAGAAGGGCTTGTCATCATTAACTTCAATGTATACCTATATGTTAGGCCACTTTCCTATTTCACCATTTATACTGAATGCTTCTTGATTCTGACATATTATATCACATTATTTGTCTCATTGAACAGGGCTTAGTATACTATGAGACAAGTCAATCAGAGACTGGAGAGCTAATTTGACCTTGTGTAATTGAACATTCTCTTGACCTGGATCTGAGTTTGACGAAAGATTAACACCATCACAACTAACTATATCATGTAGAGATATTGATGAAATCGCTCTAGATGCTCTGATATGTAGTCTTAGAACCTGTATTGTGAATTGGTATAATAGATTTATTTATGTCTAATTTGACTAAAAGTGACGACTACAATTCATAACAAGATCACAATTCCGAAACATTGAAGGAACTTTTCCATGGACTGTAATAAAACGGCTGTGATGTGGCTTAACGTAGACGCTATGGGCAGTAGAAAACGTGATGTTAGAAGTTTTGCAGCTGAATTTGTTCCCTCGAAAATTAAGAGAATCATGTAATTCTGCAAGAGTTTCCTGGCAAATTATGATATCAATGCCAATTAATTCTGGCGCGACATAGGCTTCAAGTGTAAACCTTACATCCTGAATTGTAATACCAAACTTAATAGTATGGTTACATAGCAAAACATTACCATTGCCCATTCGAAATTAAACTGATTGTGACAGGCTGTGAACAGGCAGGTCACTCAAATAAGACGAAGATTTAATTATTAAAGATGAAATGATTGACCTTGGCGCACCACTATCAACTAATATGAGCGCATTTTGACCATCAGAAAATTCACCATGACAATAATTTCTCTTTGTGAGTTGAATAGAAATTACTTTAGTAGGATTTTGGGAAGAAGTCGGACTTTGCTTGGACTGTTTCGAGTGATTAGGGAATTCATTCTGAGCAGTAGAACAAATTCCTTCAGTTAAAAATCCGGTTGACGTTTAGCAGCGAGATGCTTTTCACTAAGATAGCATGATCGCCAGATATGATTAGGTCTGAGACAATATTCACAAAAGATTGTTCCTGAAGAACGATTAGAACGTGCGTTTTGTGAATTATGATAATATGTCGGATTCTGATCCCTACTAGAATGCTATAATCTACTAGGGGGATGGGAATCTTGTTGCGATCTATCTGAATAACGATGTAGACGTGATCTATCTGAATAACGGTCTAGACGTTATCTATCTAAATAACGAGATCTGTGCGGACTGTCATATCTATTATGGGAGTGTGGACTGTGTGAGTTTGAACGACCTCGAGAATTCTTTCTCATATGTGGGCTTGTAGATCATCGGTTAGATCTTTCATTAGATTCGAACTGCAGCTTCAAGGCATCTAGTTCTTCACGAATAGAAGAAATATCAGAGGTAGCGAAGGAGACCTCTTTAGATGTTACAGTTAAAGTCTAACTATGAACATCAAAATAACATTGAACCTGGGCTTGTATATCAGCTAGTGAAGTGTTTTCAGAAGTGGTCATCGCCACAGCTTGCTGACAATTTGTGAAGAGAACTGAAATGAACTTATGCTTGAGTTGTGCACGACTGACTTCCAGTTGATTTCCAAGTTTTTCTAATGCTTCAAGGTTCTCAGCAGGAGTAGAAGACGTGTCATATTTGAAAGATTGGAAATCCTGATGCAACCCATAAGAAGTTTTATTTTCAGAAAATCTTTCGAGAAATTGTGTTTTTAAATCTTGACGACTGCGAAATACTCTGCCTTCAATCCATAGGCGGGCTTTTCCTTTCAAAGTTTGCTTAAACATATTCAAAAGTGTATCAATTGCCGCTACAGACAGGGGATCCAACTCGTCATTATACACTAAGAAGTCTTCGAAAGACAGAAAATGTGCTAAGGCTGGGTCCCGATTTAATTGTGCACCTTCAAGTTTATCAAATGTAGGAAGTCGCTTACTAGTAGTACCGGTACTAGATTCATTATTGCGACGATTAGCCATGATATATATATAGAAATATAAACCAAAACGTTAAAAAAAATGTTTCACGTTACGACCTTGACCTTGTTTCATTCGTTCTAGATGTACAATTCATAAAAGTATTGACAAATTTCAGAAATTAAAAACATCAATGGACTTAATTATATATAAATTATCATGAAACTAATGTGGAGTACAAACAATTGAAACATTCCACTAATATAACAAATTATCAGATACTAATAATAGGAAATCGTGAAAAAAATGAATAATCAGAATCATACCACAAAATCCTTCATCAGCAGATTCACACATTTCTAATGATATTAGCAACTTACGAAATACAATAATTCCATAGCCAAATGAATTTTGGTATTTTGATCATGAGAGGGATTACTGGAGCCTTTTTTTACAAATGCAAGGAAAAAAATTAAAAAATGTCTTGTTGATACAAAATTCTTCACTAAAAAGATTGTCACTGCATAAGCTTAGTCTTCTTTTGTTAGCAAAACATGACTGTGGGTAAAATACTTTAGACGAAGAAGACAAAATTTTCCTCAAAGTTCAGGTTAACACAATGTCAATGATGAGCGTGAATAGTCTTGATGATAGCGGTTACACGCCAGACCCAGCTAACTAAAAGCTATTTTTCTCACTTAAGTTTTCAAATGAAGCTTAATTTGTGGACTGATAGTCTTTCCTTCTGTGCAGACTACAATTTCATATTGAAGTTCTGCATAATTTCAAATAAAACACAATCTGTAGACAGAAAAAGTTCAGGTCTTATAAGACCATGTGACCGTTACTGGCTCCAAATCTGCCGTTAATAGTTTATTCACTTAAAAGTAAATAGAATTAATAATAATAAGAATAAGAATAGATTTATTTAGCGCCAACAATTTAACCCAGTGAAGTGCTGTCAGGCGCTTTACATAAGTACAACTAGTATAAAATTGAAACAATCACAACACATTAATCCATAAAAAAAGACATACAAAAAAATAGAGAACATTATTTAGTACACATGGTAAAAGTCTGATACAGCTAGAATCGTATTCAATCAGATGCATATTTGATTAAAGAGTTCTTTAAACCTTTAGTAGAATTTGCGCTTTTGGTTTCGTTTGATATTGAATTCCATAACTTCGGAGCACCGGCTGCGAAAGATCTATCACCGGAGTTGGTTTTTGAAAAAGGCTTAATTATGAGGGTGTCTGTTTGTGATCGGACGGTTCTGCAAGGATTATTGGTGTTGAGAAGGTCTCTAGGGTATTGATGTGAAGAATCGTCATTTAGAGCAGAATACGTAATAGACAGTATTTTAAAATTGATACGTTGGTGGACTGGAAGCCAATTGAGATCTTTCAGAATTGATGTCATATGTTCATTTGGTTTAGTCTTGGTTATGATCCGGGCTGCTATATTTTGAAGTTTCTGAAGTCGGTTAATTTTATTTCCAGGTAGATTATACAAAAGTGAATTACAGTAGTCGAGTCTTGATGCAACCATAGTGTTTACCAGCGTTTTAGTCGTGTCACTATTAATGGAAGATCTAATTTTTCCAATATTATAAATCTGAAAATTAATACTTTTACACATGGCCGAAATTTGTTTATTCGTGTCCAGATTAGAATAAAAATAAACACCAAGATTTTTTTTTACAGAAGCGAGAATTTTTTTTTTAAACCGGAAGTGATGAAGTTGGTTCAACACGCTCACTGGTCTCCATAGTAAGCATACAGATTTGGCAAATGTTTGCTGCTGTATTTTGTTCACGTGTCGTCCTTTGGCCAAAAATCTGATCAAATGGGCCGGGATAGCCATCATGTAGACTTAGGGCCTCTGGCTCGAGGCCGGGATAGAGATGCGATTGGGTGGAATAGCTAGGGTAGACATCATAGGTTCTAATCGTGTGTATATTGTTGTTGTAGAAAATATCCTTGTAACCTATAAAGATACTTTGAATTTAAAAAGGAGTTTGAAGTTTTATACACAACCCAGGATGAGGTCCTGCGGAGATTCACGGCAGTATCACTTTGAAGATTTGGCTGCCGCGACACAGGAAAGGTGTTCCTAAAGTGTCACTTATGACCCTTGCCTTTTTAACCCTCGAGTACATAGAGTTAAGCAAAATTTTAAAATAATTATGTACACAGTCAGTTTGCGAACCCTCTAGAAGCCACATTTTCTATCCGATATAGATGAATCTCATGGATCAAAGGGTCTCGGTGGAATTTGGTGCTCTACGACCCGGGGTGTGTGTGTGTGGGGGGGGGGGGGGCGAATGGTTAACACGTGCGCGCTGTATTATAAAGTCTGTCATTGAGTCAACTGGCGTGGTTTCGATTCCCCGGTTGTACGCGACAAGGAATAGGGTCGCCTTCCAACCTCGTAGGTTTTCTCCGGGTCCTCCGGTTTCCTCCCACTGCTAATTTTTGAAGCAAGCGAATTATTGAAATAAAATTGAACCATATGTTAGTTCCGAAATGACTTTTTTGTGTCGAGTGGACGTTAAACCTCATCTCGTCCTGGAGCCCCCACCCCCAAACCCCCTTTTCATAAGGCATGTGAAAGAGATAGAGGTAAAAGTTTTTAACAGATTTGGATGGGTGAGATAAAAGTGGACGTACTCTGTCAATTTTCAGGGTTACGCGACCTTTCGTTCTTACATACCATTATTTTCTCGCAAAAGTAGATGTCTGTTCACGGTTGGCGGCTACACTAAGGCTGTCCCGAGGCTGAAATTTGGTGTATAGGGGTGACTCGGAGCAGGGAGTAACATAAGCCAGGTGGCGATTGACTACCACTTCCGGTTTCGGAGATATGGTGCGAATTTGAGCCCAATGGCGACTTGGGCCACGGTCGAATTTGGGCCCGGACAAATTTGGCACCCCGGACGAAGCCGGGTATCTTGCTAGTAGTAAATAAAAGTAACTTGGCAGTTGAAATCCGAAAGTTTGGAGAAGGGACGGAAAGGGATAGTGTGTAGCTTATAGCTTTCACTTTTAGATTAAGATGTGTTTTTTTCTACGTGTGGAGTTCGACCTGCACAGAGATATTTTCGCTACTTCACTATAGTCGATCCTGTAGGACAGTTATGAGTGACAATTCTGTACAGTGTAAGACAAATCAGACAATCCTGAATTATAAACTCAAATGAAGATCAAATGCCGTAGAATGCCGGAGAGGAAATATATTTCCCTTTTAGAATATACATATATCATTAAACACTATCTAAGTATGTACCTATTTGCCCTAAAATATGTAAGACCAGGTACTAGTAGGCACCTTGTACCCCATTTCGTTAAATAAAAAGTATTGTCTGAAAATCCTATATCTTAGCACGTTACGGCAATGTAAAATTTGCAATACACTGTCATTATCACGACCATCCCTTGATCATCAATGCAGTCAGCACATATTTAAATAGCTTATTACAATCTGGTGAATGAAATTTGATAAAACATGGAGTATACCTACTTAACCTACTGAAGTCTGATCGATCGTTTCTTTGAAAGGCAGTTATTTTAAAGGCAATAACTTTAAAGAACCTTCATTATCAGTCATCGACCCAAGTCAGTGGTATGCAAACCTTTAAGGTGAAGGGCCAAACTCAAAGTTTTGAAACAAAGCGAGGGCCAAACAAGGATTATGAAATGTCATTTTATTGAATACAGTAATACGGAACAAAGCACTTTTCTGCGCATTTTATTCGGTTCCATAGTAATAATCAGAAAAAAATCAATGCATGTCAACGTAAAATAAATGTTACTTCAAGTCAATTAGGCAACTACACCAAAGCCCTGTATAGAGAAGGTTACGACAACTAATTTGCAGGTGCCATTTTGGTTCCCAACTATGACGTCATGGCGTCATATAACTTTACTTAGATTGCGCGTAGGGGTCTTTAGCAGTGGGAGGAAACCGGAGGACAGGCGACCCTACTCCTTGTCACGTACATACGGGGAATCGAAACTACGCCAGTTGACTCAATGACAGGCCTTATGATACAGCGCGGACGTGCTATCCATTCGCCCCCCCCCCCCCGCCAAAAAAAGAAAGAAAATACACACATAAATTTGGTAATATAGGGGCAGCGATAATCTCTTAAAATAAGATATGACTTTTGCTATGTCTTTTATATGGTTTTCGATGTCTATTTAAAGATAAATTTCGAAAATCCAAAATGGCAGCAAAATAAATCGGTGGATGTTAATATAATCGTCATTTTTTTCTGTTGGATATTACTTGTAATGTGTCATTTACACGGTTTTTGATGTCACCGGATTCAACACTGACCTGAATCCATGACGACAGAAATTAAAAATGGACGGCAAAATTTAATCCAAAATTGCGGATTTTTGTAATGTCTTGTGTTTTGGGGGTTGTTGTATTCAAGTCTGATCTCAAAAATAAATTTCCAGAATTCTTGATGGTAGAAATTCAAAATGGCCGGCAAAATTAAATCCAAAATGGTGGAATTTTTTCCCGTTGAGTATGGCTTGTAATACGTCGTATATAAATAAGGGTTTGGTGGTTGTTTGGTTCTATTTAAAAAAAACTAATTATGATCGGTCCAGATGGTGTAAGTATATAATAGCAATCAAATTAGAAACAAAAATGGGGATGTCTGTACTTGTGGATATTACTTGTAATAAGGTTTTTAGGGTTAATGAATTCAATAATTTCAGATAGGATTGTCACACATCAAATTTTGCGTAAACTAGAAACATCAGGACAAATTACAGAAAAAAGTTTTACGATCAGTTTTATGAAAGCAGGGAGAGAACCCCACCGGACCCCCAATAGAATGGGAACCCCTCGCGAGGCCAAGTTCAGGGACCCTCGGTCCCCTAGTGTCTCTTGCTTGTGAAAAGCTGTACTCCTGTGGCACTCACAAGAGCCTGTCGTAAAATCAATAACAGACAGAAATGAACTCGTGGTAACTATCTGCCTTGATGCTACTAGGGACAGACCGGGGGTCGAGGATATCTAAACCATGATGTATCCTGCAGTTCAGA